TTCTCCAACAACATAACTCAGATGATTCATTACCTATACAAACACACTATATAATATAGTATATTTATACGTAATAGTGCATTATATACATTAGTATATACAGAGGGCTTCAATAAGTTCATGGAAAAGTGCAATTAAAAGATAACAGAATTTTTCCATCAGCTTTTTTGAAGGCCCCACTATAATGTATGCTGTTGTTGAGTGCCTTAAGTTGGCTCTGACTCATAGTGAGCCTGTATAGCGTTTCCGAGGAGTACTTGGTGGGTTTGAACCACTGGACTGTGTGGTTAATTGTCCAGTGCTTATCCTACAGCGACACAATAGTTTATGGTATATATAGGAGTCCCTAAGCGACCGGAAACCCTATACAGGGTTGTTTTGAGTCAGGACTGTCTCAACGGCACTTAACAGCAACAACAAAGTGATGAAAACAGTTAACACACTCAGCTTCTATCCAAATGGAACGTTAAGCCTACGCAGAGGCATCTCAGAAGAAAGGCTTGGTGATTTAGGTTCCCAAAACCAGCCATTGAAACCGCATGCAGCTTAGTTACTCCTACACATGAGGTTGCCATGAATTGGGGTCAGCTTGATGGCAACTAAAAGAAGAAACAGATCTGTATTGGAAGAAGTGCAACCAGAATGCTCTTTGGAGGCCACGATGGCCAAACTTCATCTCTCATACTTTGAACATATTGTCAGGAGGGAACAGTCACTGGAGAAGGATATCATGTTTGGTAAGATGGAGGGTCAGAGAAAAAGAGGAAGACCACCAGTGAAATGGATTGGCAAAGTGGCAGCATCAGTGGACTCAAGCGTGGCAACAATAGTGGGGTTGGCCCAGGATTGGGCAGTATTTCGTTCTGTTGTGCATGGGGTCGCTATGAGTCAGTACCGACTCGATGGCACCTAACAACAACAACAAACACACACATATGTATGAGGGAGCTTTGTGGAAAAATTCCCTTATCTTTTAGTTCCGATTTTGCACAAACTTTATGATGCTGTTACATACAGACACTATACAGATACACATACATGAGTGTGAGTATGTAAAAATATATGCTTAATTATGCACATACTAATTGATTAATGAAATGTGATATCCTTCATGGCATGAAGAATTTTATGATCTAATTGAATGGTTTTATACACACACAGACACACATACACACGTATTTTCCACTTGTTACTATTTTAGTATACTCTCATTTTACAAAATCAGGTCCATTGGCTTTCTCTTCATTTACCATGACTGAAACAAGAAGAGCTGGTGTGAATTCCTGCTTCCGAGACACCAGCTCTAAGTGGGTTTGAATCACCAAACGTTTTGGATGGTTTTTGAGAGCTTAATTGTTTGTACCACCCTGAGATTTTGTATGTTTTTTAGTGCTTTTATATATATATGTGACTGTTTCTTTTTCTTTGCAGGCAGAAGAAATGCATGAGTAAATTATTAGAATACAGTGCTGATGTCAACATTTGTAATAATGAAGGCCTTACAGCAGTAAGTTCTAATAATCTTATCTGAGATTTCAGAGTACTTTTTAGAAAATAATACTTAAAGGTGGTGGTAGGGTAAAGAAAAGTACACACATTTTTTTAAGCTTTGTAGTTTTTAAGATGCAGGACAGTTTGAAGTACAGCTTTTAGTTTTTATTGAGAGAAATGATGGTTTCTCCCTTTTTATTTGTTGTTTACTTTTTTACATTTCTTTTGTAAGTGACTTTCAGTGGTCTTTTTAGGAGCATATTTGCCAAGGTGTATGATGAGTTCATTATAGGGGAGCTGTTTCTCATTATGTCCTTTTAAATACTCTTATTATCTACATTGTAGAAGAATTAGAAATATATCTAGACAAAAACAAGAACTTTTTCTTGTTTTGGAGGTAATGATTACTTGTATTCCTTACATTCAGAGATAATCACTGTTAACACTTTGGCCTGTAAGCTTTCAGACTTGTTTTATTTTACTTAAACTGATATTTATCCAGTTTTGCCATGTTACTTTTCAAAGTTAAGGTAGTATGGTTTTGATCCACATAGATTTTATAATAAGGTAGTATGGGATACTGGTGAAGGAATTATTTAAATCCCAAAGTTTTAATCAAATTGCTACTATATAATAATTATTTGTTTTAGAAGTAGAGATAAAATTATGTAATTAGTAGGAAATTGTCTGAAGTCTTGGAAGATATGTTAATTTTATTTATTAAATTTAACCTTCCTTTGGTAGTATTTGTATATTTTGAATTTTTAAATTTATGAGTAAAGAAGGCACTTCCCATGCCAGTTTTCAAGGTGTCTGAATTGAAAAAAAATTTTTATAGGCATGTTGGGGTTGTTTTTAAGTGCCGTTGAGTTGATTCCTACACAGAGCGACCCTGTATTGGCTTTCCAAGATGTGGCTTGTGAGCTTGAACTGCTGACCTTGCGGTTTGAACCGACCTGCAGTCTAGCGCATTAAATCACAGTGCCACACCAGGACTCCTTTGTATGGAGGCATATAAAAACAACTCCCCAAAGACTTGAATTATTCTGTGAATGGCTTATTAAAAATAGATGCAATCATGTGAAGTGAAGGATACTGACACTGTGAGCCAGTATGCTAGGTAGTTATATAGAATCCACCATTTGTTATCTATTGATAGACATGTAAAAATGTAATGAGTAACTATTCTAAATCCACATAGGCCACTATGATGTAGGTGATGCAAAGGATTATGAGATCATGGGAATGACAGAGCTAGAATTAGGACACAGTTACAGGCAAGATACGATAACCAGTGTTCACATACTCTTTAATCACTTATGTTTTCATTAGATAATTCTTACTCTTCTGAATTTTAAAGCCAGTTGGTAGAAAAATTTTAAATAATAATTTTAAAAATGCACATTCTATTGTGTTTTTGCTGAAAATTTATATAGCAAGTTAGGGTCTTCATTTAACTATTTCTACACATACTGTTCAGTGACACTGGTTACTTTTCCACAGTGTATCAACATTCTCATTAACTCTGTTCTGGCTGTTTTGTTCCCAGTAATCTAGTTTTCATGACCCCTTGTCTTCTCATCTTTGCTTTAGAGTAATTATTGACTGTTTAGATGAATATTTTAAAAATGAGCACAACATTCACTGGTGATACTATTTTGTGAGCCAGTGTGCTATTTAGCTAAAGAGTGATGTCATGGAATAATTTTGGTTCGAGGTTAAAAGAGTATCTCAGGGCAGTAGTCTTGGGGAGTCCTGTCGTTTCAACTGTCCTGGAAGTATAGACTTATTAAGAATTTGAGTT